CTGACTTTTCTGGGCCTCATTTCCCTCCTCAAAAGGTATGATAAGGCTCCTCCAACTCAATCTCCAAACATGCACAGGGATAGAATGGAAGGGTTTTAGAGTCAACCCCCTACGGCTCTATTGTATGATAAGCCAGTGTTCCACATATATTATTTATGAGCACAAAGAGAACATCATGATAAGATCTGTGCCTTGAAGAGTTGATATAATGGAAGAGTAAAAAATGAGAGAAGCTGTAAAAGAGTCTTCAAGTAGTCTATGTGAGTAAGAATGAAGACTTAATCTGAGCAGGGCAGTGAGCATAGCAATGAGGACATAGAATTGGGAAATACTTGTGCTAATTACTCTTTCAGACCCACTGACACTGTTGCAAAGGACCGGTTGTGAGGAAGTAAGTACAAAACGTTCTACATATTTTCACAGAGAAATGGAGCATCATCAGGATATGACGCAACATCTAACCTAATATTGCTTAACTTACTCATGGCTTCTCATGACTCGTAACTTCACTACCCCGTGGATTTTACATTACAGGTTTTTTCCTGCACTACTGTTTCTGTATTTCTCTGTCATCTATGTGTGTTTCCATATGACTCACATTCAAACTCCTCACAAGAGGAGTTTGTCGGTTAAAATGAATCACTAGCCAATAAAGGGTAGCCTTATGGAGAAGAAAGCTTTTTTAAAAATATTTTATTTGTTTGTTTTCATTTTATTTGAAAGACATGTAGAAACAGAGAGAAATCTCCTGTCCACTGGTTCATGCCCCAAAGGCCCACAACAGTCAGGCCTAGACTAGGCCAAAGACAGGAGCCCAGAACTTAATCTGGGTCTTCCACGTAGAGGTACTTCAGTGTGGGAAACGGACATCCTGAGCGACATCTTAATCACTGTGACAAATGTCCACCCAAAGAGAAAGCTTTTGTATCTCCTCATGGGTGTCGCTTAAGTCGGATTCTGTTCCCTCTTCAGTGGAGCACTTATGTACTTTTAGTCCAAATATACAGTCTGTGAAATTCAGGAAAAAGGCTTGATGTGTCCAGATTACTTTCCAGGTGAGACTAGTGGTTTCCAGCGGCTGAGAAGCCTCACAGAAAGTGATATATTTCTCAGTCTCTTTCTCAATTGTGAAGCTCAGAAAATTAACTTTAATTAATTTGAAAATATGCCAATTCTGGGTTTCTCTCTCCAGGTAAACTCTAAATATGTGCATTGATCCACTGTAAGAAAAAAGTAAAGGTTTTCCAGATGGACAATGGAGGGATGTCCCTGGATGAGAAGCTGTGCAGAAAGCCTAGAAAGAAACAGGTACAGGGGGAGAAAGACCAAAGGGTCCAGGAAATAAATGAAGCTACTTAACAATGTATTTGTTCATGCTGACGCCAGATGGCAATTCTGTGAAAATTTGGGACTAATTCATGAAAAGTGCAAAACACTAGGCAACTTAAAACAAAGACAATTATTACTATAGGAAAAATACCCATTTTGTGTGCCATAAAATGCTCTAGGAAGCATATTTTTTTTAATCTCTGAACTCCAACAAAAACAGAGAAACTGCATAGATAGAAATTTAGACATTTACAACAAAACTAGGTGGCAGGTTTCCCAAGAACATTAACATACAGGTAGCTATAAAACTTCTAGAAAAAAGCATAAAAGGGGCCAACACCGTGGCTCACTTGTTTAATCTTCTGCCTGCGGCGCCGGCATCCCATATGGGCACTGGGTTCTAGTCCTAGTTGCTCCTCTTCCGATCCAGCTCTCTGCTGTGGCCCGGGAAGGCAGTGGAGAATGGTCCGAGTGCTTGGGCACCTGCACCCACATGGGAGACCAGGAGGAAGCACCTGGCTCCTGGCTTCAGATCGGGCAGTGCCGGCCGTAGCGGCCATTGGGGGAGTGAACCAATGGAAGGAAGACCTTTTTCTCTATCTCTCTTTCACACTGTCTAACTCTATCTGTCAAAAAAAAAAAAAAAAGCATAAGGAAAAAAAATTTTGTAACCTTTCAACTAGGCATCCTTGCCAGCATTTCTTGCCTTCTATCTTTTGGATGATAGCCATTCTGATAGGGGTGAGGTGATATCTCATTGTGGTTTTCATTTGTATTTCTCTGATGGCTAGTGATGCTGAGCATTTTTTCATATATTTGTTAGCCATTTGTGTTTCTTCTTTTGAAAGCTGTCTATTGAGGTCATTTGCCCATTTCGTCATTGGATTGGTTTTTGTTGTTGAGTTTTTTTAGTTGTTGATATATTCTAACTATTAATCCTTTGTCAGATAAATAGCTTAAAATATTTTTCGCATTTTGTTTGGTGTCTCTTCACACTACTGATTGTCTCCGTTGCTGTATAGAAGTTTCTGAGTTTTATATAATCCCTTTTCTCTATTTTTGCTTTTGTTTTCTGTGCTTTGGGGGTCTTATCCAATATGTTATCATCTACACTAATGTCTTGGAGTGTTTTCCATACATTTCCTTCCAACAACCTCTCAGGTCTTAAATTTAGGTCTTTGATCCATCTTTGGTAGATTTTTGTATATGGTAAGAGGTAGGGATCTAATTTCATTCCTCTACATATAAACATCCAATTTTTCCAGCACTATTTATTGCAGAGATTATCCTTTCTCCAGAATATAATCTGGATGCTTTGTCAAAACTCAGTTGGCTATATGTCGTGGATTAATATCTGGTCTCTTTTTTTCAACTCCACTGATCTATGTGCCAGTTTTTATGCCAGTACATTGCTGTTTTAATTACTATAGGTTTGTAGTATGCTTTGAAGTCAGATACTATGATGCTTCCAACTTGATTTTTTTTTTTTGCTAAGGATCATTCTGGCTATTCTGGATCCTTTGTAATTGAATAGGAATTTTAGGATTCTTTTTTCTAATTATGTGTAGAATGTCATTGATGTTTTGATAGGGATTTTACTAAATATGTAGATTTCTTTAGGTAGTATAGACATCTTAATTATATTAATTCTTCCTATCTATGAGCAAGAAAAATGCTTCCCTTTTTATATCCTTGAGGATTTCTTTCATCAATGTTTTATAATTTTCATTGCAGAGATCTTTTACTTCTTTGGTTAAATTTATTACTCAATATTCACTTTTTGGTGGCTATTGTGAATGGGATTATTTTCTTGGTATCTCATTCATCAAGCTTATCATCAGTGCATTTTTTAAAGATTTATTTATTTATTTCAAAGTCAGAGTTACACAGAGACAGAAGGAGAGGCAGAGAGAGATGTCTTCCATCCATGGGTTCACTCCCCAGATGGCTGCAATGGCTAGAGCTGCACTGATCTAAAGCCAGGAGCCAGGAGCTTCCTCCAGGTCTCCTACACGGGTGCAGGGGCCCAGTGTCTTGGGCCATCTTCTACTGCTTTCCCAGGCCATAGCAGAGAGTTGGATCAGAAGTGGAGCAATGGGGTGAGGTGAAACCTCATTGTGGTTTTGATTTGCATTTCCCTAATGGATAGTGATCCTGAGCATTTTTTCAAGTGTCCATTGGCCATTTGAATTTCCTCTCTTTATAAATGTATGTTCAATTCAGTAAGAAATAATCACCTCTTGACTATTAGTATTAACCATGGAAGGCTTTGTGGGGAGTCTGGGTAGCACAGAACCCGGGAGCCCTGAGTTCAGCTGTTACAGTAAAACAGTTTGGTTCCCAAATGATTATTTCTGAAAGGAATTCTTAAAACCCTGCCATCCGCCGGCACCGTGGCTCACTAGGCTAATCCTCTGCCTAGCGGCTCTGGCACACTGGGTTCTAGTCCCGGTCAGGGCGCCGGATTCTGTCCCAGTTGCCCCTCTTCCAGTCCAGCTCTCTGCTGTGGCCCAGGAGTGCAGTGGAGGATGGCCCAAGTGCTTGGGTCCCTGCACCCACATAGGAGACGAGGAGAAGCACCTGGCTCCTGGCTTCGGATCAGTGCGGTGCGCCGGCCGCAGCATGCCAGCTGTAGCGGCCATTGGAGGGTGAACCAACAGAAAAAGGAAGACCTTTCTCCTCTCTCACTGTCTACTCTGCCTGTCAAAAAAAAAAAAAAAAAATAATATAAATTCTTAGCAGCGATACTAGACCACCTACTATCTGCTACTATCTGCTATTACTGCATTTTTGTCCCTCCTCCCTCCTCTAGACAGATTCCATTTTCTCCCCAGTCGTGGCACAGCTGGGGATGAGGCACACCTGCCCCAGCGAGGGCGCCTGGAAATTGTACAAACACCCAAGTTCTTAAAGTGCAGAAGCCACAGGGGAGGAAAAACTTACTCCAAAAATTCAAGTTTAGTAGCCAGTGTTAAATAACACTTGTTAAGAATGTGTATTAGTGTTATTCATGTCAACAATGCCTTTCAATCACTGCAGAAAACCTCAGAGATATTGGAAACTGATGAACTGATTTGTAATATTCCAATATGGTTGATCAGATAGTTTAAAATAAAATCTGCTAGGAATGATAAGTACTTTCTTTTTTTATTATTATTTTTTGACAGGCAGAGTGGACAGTGAGAGAGAGAGACAGAGAGAAAGGTCTTCCTTTGCCATTGATTCACCCTCCAATGGCCGCCATGGCCAGCGCGCCGCACTGATCCGATGGCAGGAGCCAGGTACTTCTCCTGGTCTCCCATGGGGTGCAGGGCCCAAGCACTTGGGCCATCCTCCACTGCACTCCCTGGCCACAGCAGAGAGCTGGCCTGGAAGAGGGGCAACCGGGACAGAATCCGGCGCCCCGACCGGGACTAGAACCTGGTGTGCCGGCGCCGCTAGGCGGAGGATTAGCCTAGTGAGCCGCGGCGCCGGCAATTTTACTTCTTAAAAAGTTACAGATTATGGTGCGCACACACACACATTTAACAAATGCCAACTTTGATTCTGTTAATTCTGACACACACACATACACACACCACACCACACCACACACACACACACCCCCAAGGTCAACTTTAATTCTGTTAATTCTTCCTCACCCTGACTGATCCCTCTTTATTGCCTCACAGCTGCTACTCTCCTTAGCACCAATGGGGGCCACTTGTGGATCTAAAGGAGGCTGAGGACCTGTTTTCACAGAGAAGGGGAAAAACAAATGATCCACCCCAAAACACACCCAGGAGTCACATTCAACTCTCCACAAATGCAAACATCACTTTGAACGGTTCTGGTAAAGTTTATGGGGGTTTTGGTTTCAATTTTATTTCTGCTCTGATCCTTATTCTCTCTCTCCTCCTGATAATTTTGGGTTTTGATTTATTCCTGTTTTTGTAACTTCTCAAGATGCATCATTAGATCATTTATTTGAGACTTTTCTCTGTTTTTAATGTAAGCACTTAATGTTGTAAACTTCCCTCACTATTGTTTGTGCTGTATCCCACAGATTTTGATATGTTGTGCTTTCATTTTCATTAATTACAAGAAAATTATTTTATTTCTTTTTTGATTTCTTTGATGACTCATTGGTCTTTCAGTAGCATGTTGCTTAATTTCATATGTATGTAAATGTTCTATTGTTTTTCTTGTTGATTTCTAGTTTTATTCTTTTGTGACCTAAGAAGATACACGCTATGATTTCAGTCTTTTTAAATTTACTGAGATTTGATTTGGGCCTAATGTATGCTCTACATAAGAGAATTTTCCATTGGGTGGTGAGAAGAATATGTATTCTGTAGCTGTTGGGTGAAATGTTCTGTAAATGTCCATTAGGTCTATTTGCTCAACAGTGTGGTTCAACTCAATGTACCTTTGTCGATTTTCTGTTTGTACGATCTGTCTAGTGCAGTATTGAAGTCTCCCAACTGTTACTGTATTGGAGTCTATCTCTCCCTTTTGGTCTAATAGTATTTGCTGTATATATCTGGGTGATCTTATGTTGGGTGGATATATATTTATGATTATTGTATCTTTTTGCTGGGTCAATGCTTTTACCAATATATATTGTCCTTCTTTGTCTCCTCACATTTTTGTATTTAAGTTCCGTTTTATCTGATATGAGTATAGCTACAACTACTTGTTTTTGGTTTCCATTTGCCTGGTTAATTTTTTTTAGTACTTATTTGAAATAGCTAGAGCGATAGAGAGAGAGGAGAGACAGAGAGAAAGTCTTCCATCCACTGGTTCACCTGGTTCACTCCTGCAGATGGCTGCAACACCCAGGGTTGGGCCAGACTGAAACCAGGAGCCAGGAGCCAAGAGCTTCTTCCAAGTCTCTCACATAGGTGCAGGGATCTAAGCACTTGCGCTATCCTCCACTGCTTTCTCAGGTGTATTAGCAGAAAGCTGGATTAGAGGTGAAGCAGCTAGCCGGTGCTGCAGCTCACTAGGCTAATCCTTCGCCTTGCGGCACCAGCACACCGGGTTCTAGTCCCAGTTGGGGCGCCGGATTCTGTCCCGGTTGTCCCTCTTCCAGGCCAGCTCTCTGCTGTGGCCAGGGAGTGCAGTGGAGGATGGCCCAAGTGCTTGGGCCCTGCACCCCATGGGAGACCAGGAGAAGTACCTGGCTCCTGCCTTCAGATCAGTGCGGTGTTCTGGCCTCAGCGCGCCGGTCACAGCAGCCATTAGAGGGTGAACCAACGGCAAAAGGAAGACCTTTCTCTCTGTCTCTCTCTTACTGTCCACTCTGCCTGTCAAAAAATAAAAAATAAAAATAAAAAAAGAAGTGAAGCTGCTAGATCTCAAACTAGTGCCCATACGGATGCCAGCATTGCAGGCATGCAGCTTAGCATGCTGCATGTGCACTACAATGCCAGTCCTTGGTATATCTTTTTACAACCCTTCACTGTCAGTTTATATGTATATTTGTGCATTGAGTTTCTTGTAGGCAGCATATGGATGGGTCTTGGTTTTTGATCCATTCAGTGAACCTAAATCTAGGGAATTTAATCTATTTACATTCAGGGTTATATTGACAGATAAGAACTAACACCTGTCATTTTGTTGATTGGTTACTGATTATACATGTTAGTGAATTTGGTAAATTCATGTGTTGTCATGATGTCCATTTCTTTTTTTTTTTTTTTTTTTTTTTTTTTTTTGACAGATAGAGCTAGACAGTGAGAGAGAGAGAGACAGAGAGAAAGGTCTTCCTTCCATTGGTTCACCCCCCAAATGGCCACCACGGCCAGAGCTACGCCAGTCCGAAGCCAGGAGTCAGGTGCTTCCTCCTGGTCTCCCATGCGGGTGCAGGTGCCCAAGCACTCGGGCCATCCTCCACTGCCTTCCCGGGCCACCTCAGAGAGCTGGACTGGAAGAGCAGCAACCGGGACAGAATCCGGCGCCCCAAATGGGACTAGAACCCGGGCGCTGGCACCGCAGGCAGAGGATTAGCCTAGTGAGCCGCAGTGCTGGCCTATATCTGTCTTCTTAGTGAATTTTTCATTCACATCATCTATGATTTTCCTCATTTAAGTTATCTGTATTCTGTTACACTGCAGTGAGAACTACTCTTTTGAATTTGGTTTCTGGCATTTCATAGATTTCCTTCAGATCAGGGTCTAATTCTGGAGAACTGTGTGTTTTTGGAGTTGTCATGCTACATTATTTCCTCATGTTTCCTATGTCCCTACCTTGATGTCTGTGCACCTGGTATAAAGTCTCTTCTTTATGGAGTAGGTTTTATTAGAAGAGTTTGAAGTTTAGGTGGAATGCAGGACATTATATGGTGTGTTTCTTAGGCTTTGGTTCTAGATGAGATCACAAGTGTAACCTCTGAGTGACTTTGTTTAATCACTGTCAGCTATGTCTATATGTGACATAGTAGTCTAGTCTGCAGCAGTTCATAATGGTAGAAGTGTGACTTTGAGGTGAACGTGGGCTTCCTACAATGTGTATCTTTAGTCCCCGGAGAGTTTGGTTTCAGTTGCACTAGGAATTGTGATAGCCAGGACCTCATTCTTGGTGCTGAGGGACACAAAAGGGGCCCTTATCCTTATCCTAATGTTACACACAAAGACCACAGAAACCAAAGGGCACTGGAGGCTTCAGGAGGAAAGGCACACAGTTTATTTACACATGTGGGCTTGACTAGACTCTTATCTCAAGAGTCAAGCCCTGATCCCTTGTCTTTCCTTACTTTTATACCTAAATTTAGCAAGGCAGTATTGAGGCAGTTTCAAGGAAATTTCAAGGCAGTTTCAGGGAGCACACTGTTATTTTAGGCCCTCAGGGATTAGCAAATCACAACTGCAAGGTAAGATGGTTTTACAGTAAAGGAACAGTAAGTTATAACTTAAAGGAAGTTTCAGGAGGCCCACAACTATCTTAAGTATGCAACTTTGCCTGGGGAACTGGTTTCTAAAGTCAGCATTGGTTTGCTTAAACCTAGCTTTGATAACATGCAGGTGGGAGTAGTCTGTAGCATTCCCTCAAACTGGCTCCAGCAGGACATGGTCTGTAACACTACTGGCAAGTCTGAGTGATGCTGGGGCTTGTGGCACTAGTAAGTGTAGCTGTAGGACTGTGTAATGTGGATGAGCCCATCCCCCAAGTCTTGTTGGGAGAGTTAAACTGGTGCTGAGGCTTAAAAGACCAAAAGCCCTAGTCCTAGGACTGGGGTATATGAACTGAACCCTGCTCCACTACCACAGGGTGACTACCAGATATACAGGAGATTTTACACTGGCAGGTATGAGTCCAGAGAGGTGGAATGTGGGCAGGTTCTTCCCCAGGTCCCATCTAGTAGATTCCACTGGATTTGAGGAAATTAGTATTGGTTGGTATACTCCTGGTGTTGGTAGGATACAGGGGAGTTGTTACCCAGATCTCCCAGGGTAGGAGAAAGTTGTTGGGGATAGTGGTAGCCATCTGCCTGCAGGAGAGCAATGCAAATAGAGCAGTCCAGATACTGCAAATTATGAGTGAAAATTACTTAAATATTGTAGTATCAGCATCAATAATTTTTTTTTTGACAGGCAGAGTGGACAGTGAGAGAGAGAGAGAGACAGAGAGAAAGGTCTTCCTTTGCCGTTGGTTCACCCTCCAATGGCCGCCGCGGCCAGCGCGCTGCGACCAGCGCACCGCATTGATCCAATGGCAGGAGCCAGGTACTTCTCCTGGTCTCCCATGGGGTGCAGGGCCCAAGGACTTGGGCCATCCTCCACTGTACTCCCTGGCCATAGCAGAGAGCTGGCCCAGCATCAGTAATTCTTCCAAATTCCACCTATCCCCCTTTCTCACCCTTCCCAGTCTCTAAAAAACACTATTATAAGTTCAGATCAACTTTTTTTAACTTCTACATATGAGAGAACATACAGTATTCAACCTTCAGTATTTCGCTTAGTTCTCTAAGCATAATGACCTCCAGTTATGTCCATTTTGCTACAAATGTCAAGATTTCATTCTTTTTATATCTGAATAGTATTCCATTGTGTGTATTTGCCACATTTTCTTTATCTAGTCATCTATCAATGACCCCTAGATTGATTCCATATCCTGGTTGTTGTGTATAGTGTACAATCATGGGCATGTAGGTATCTGTCATATACTGACTTCAGTTCCTTCAGATATACACCCACCAGTGGGACAGCTCAGTCTCATGACAGAACTATTTTTAGTTTTTAAAGGAAGCTCCATACTATGCAACCTGAGTTTCCAAGGGAGCAAAGCATATTCAAAGCATAGCAACCCCTAATATACTTCCTGTGTTACAATTTCCATTTTCAGTAAGCTGTCTGGGAAACTCTGCCCTTGATAAGTGTTATTTATTGCTTGAATTAGGTTCATATGTAGTGATCAACAACCAACACCATAATTGTTAAAATAGCATAGAAGTTCATTCCTCCCAAGTCAAAATCCACATCAAATTCAGAAGTAGACTGGTGTAACATGGTATGATACAGATGCCAGATTCTCTCTGTCTTCTTGCACCATTCTCTGTAGGTTTAATCACATATTCCAAGAAGGAAATGGTCATATTCTTAGCAAGATGGAAGAAATGACAAAAGAAACAAGATGAAACAAAGAATGCATTTGTGCTATCCCTTAAAGACATGAATCAAATGACCATAAAAGGAAAACTCATGTTCCTGTTGAAACTTCAGTCAATTAGTATGTCTTAGATTATTTTCATTTTCTTGGCCCTGTGATGGTCAACTCATAATTGCATCTGCTTTGACATCATATTTGAATTTGTGCTTATAGAATTGTTCCCCCAGAGCCCACTAATTATGCCTGAACCAAATTCTTCATTTACTCATTGCCTGCCATGTGCTTCTGATCCCAGTGTCATACCTAGCACTTAAAGTCATCGCCAACACATCATGATACTACACTTTGAAAATAAAATGTGGCATACTGCAATTCTAATGATTTTAATTTGTTCACTTCTAACCTTCCTTTTGTAGGAAAAAAGGCTTGTTCCAAAAAAAAAAAAAAAAAAACAAATTTATTGATTTCAAAGATAGAATTTATTTTTGACTAAATTACTAACTCATCAGTAATTACTTTTCTTTAACAAAATCATCCAGTTGCTAAAACATGTGGTTTAGCCATTTGAAATTATTCAGAATAATGAGTTTGAATTTTTATTTATTTATTTATTTTTTAATTTTTTATTTTTGATAGGCAGAGTGGACAGTGAGAGAGAGAGACAGAGAGAAAGGTCTTCCTTTGCAGTTGGTTCACCCTCCAATGGCCGCCGCTGCAGCCGGCGCACCGCGCTGATCCGATGGCAGGAGCCAGGAGCCAGGTGCTTTTCCTGGTCTCCCATGGGGTGCAGGGCCCAAGCACCTGGGCCATCCTCCACTGCACTCCCTGGCCATAGCAGAGAGCTGGCCTGGAAGAGGGGCAACCGGGACAGAATCCGGCGCCCCGACCGGGACTAGAACCCGGTGTGCCGGCGCCGCTAGGCGGAGGATTAGCCTATTGAGCCACGGCGCCGGCTCAAATTTTTAGAATTTATTTTATCTTTCTGGTTTATTTGTGCAAAAGTGATTTCGGGTAGAAATTCTTGTCACTGGTTGTTAATATATCTTGATTCCCTAACCTTTATAGCAGAAGTTGATGGAGATATTAGCAGTATATACTAGTAGAGACATATACTCTGACCAGTTAGAATTTATGCCAGTCATAGGTAACCTGTGGGGCTGAACCAGAATATATTATTGGCATCTTGGTCCTGGCAAGGAACATGTGATAAACTTGCAGGAGGCAGTACCATATGAAGGCTAAGAATACAGGATCAAACCCTAATTCTGTACTTTACTGACTGTGGGGCTCAGGAAATTGTGCCAGAGCCTCATTTCCCCTACCTATAAAATAATGAAAATAAACTCTGACCTTTGAATGC